GAGCGCCCTGCAGGGCCGGCGGCGCGGAGCGAGGGGAGAGCCCGGGCCGCGGCTCGCACCCGCCGCCGGACGGCCGCCGAGAGAGATGCCCTAAGGGCCTCCGGGCGGTGGGATCTATGCCGTGGAATCGCTTCGGTCGGGAAAGGCCCTGAGGGTCATGGAGTCCAACCGTTAACCCAGCACTGCCGCGCCCGCCACTAAACACGGCCCTGAGCGCCCATCGACACTTCTAAATACCCCCAGGGACGGTGACTCCACCGCCTCCCTGGGCAGCCTGTCCCAGTGCCCGACAACCCCCTCCGTGAAGAAACCTCTCCTAGAACCCAACCAACTCCCCTGGTCCAACCTGAGGCCGTTTTCTCTCGTCCTATAAATGAGCATCCACTACTTCTAGAGTAAGGTGCCGGCTCCTCTGAAAGAGAGTGTCTTACCATAATACTCAAGAGAAAACTTGACAATTTCCTCACTCTGTAGATTTTTTTTCCCCTGAGGCTTAAGAGAGAGGGAAAAAGTATTTCTGGAACTCTTATTTATATCTGAAAGTGGTGTCCAAGCACTGGCTATCACTATGGTATCTGAGACCTATTTAATCTATTGAACTGCAGCCACTGTCATTTCAACTTAGTTTTTAAAAAATAAAAAAAAATGCATCAGCAAGCAGAGAAATGGCTAAATGAACAAAGAGCCTTTATTCATCCCAACGGCCTCAGTAAGAAAAATGTGAGAGGGGGAAAAAAAGCAGACCCTATCTGAGACAGGATGGGAAAGTATTTCTTGCCAGAGCACATTTCAAAGCCAGTTTGCAGTCATTGTCAGCAAATCTATGGCATCTGGGCTGAAAGAGCAGAAGGACACATCAAAGCAGCTGCAGTAGATACTGAGAGTTTCAGCTAAGGAGGTTATCTAGGGTAAATGGCATTTGGCAATTTATTATATGTTGTTTTTAATAAGACTGCCATGGCCATGTCTAACACTTCCAGCCACATCATTGTACCCCTGAATTAGAAAAGACAGACAGCTGCGTTCACTCAAACGAGTGAGGATAAGAGGGGCTGGGAGCAGGTTTTACAGAGTCCGCATTGTCTGCCTAAATCCCCCTCTGCCTTTGAAACATTGCCTCCTTTGCTTCCCAGGTTTGGGTCTCTGATCTCCAGTCTGTTTGCAATGCCTGCGAGCTGGAGGTGGTGAGCTGCTCGGCTGGTTGCTAATGAAGCATGTTGTGGAGTCTACCACACAGCAGGAGGATTTCATAAGCTTGGCACCTGTTCCAGATGAATAGAGTTGATGGCATGGGCTGGAAATGTGTCTATCTTGCGCCCAGCTTGAAACGTTTGAGGATTATCTCTGTAAATCATGGATTCTCGCAAGTGCAGTGAGCAAAGCTTAGCTGGGTCCAGGTGTCCTGCAGATTTAGAGTAAATCTTTGCTTTTGGGCTCTGTATTTGCTGCCATGTGCACCAGCCAAGGCCAGCAGTCCTTATGAGGAGCTGATTGCCATTCCTCTGTAAAGAATCAGAGAAGCAGAATTTAGGTCTTTTAAAACTGCAGAAAAGGCTTTTATTTGTAAACAGGGAATAAGGTTTGTTCTAGGGGTATTGCAGAAAGTTCCCAAAGAGCTCTCACAGACACCAGGTCAAACTGCAACAGGTATGAACTATACTAAACTGGAATTAATTTGTCAGGTATAGCAGATGTGCCTGTCCTTCCCTTTCTTCATATCTTTTCCTTTAACCTCACCAAATCACTGCCTGATTCAAACAGAAATCTTCCAAATTATTTGATTAAAAAAAATTTGGTGTGGGGTTTGGTTTTGTTTTTCTGGTTTAATTTGAACAGAGGCCCCCAAGAACTGTTTCATTTTCACTGAGAAATCACATTTTTCCTCTAAAGTACACAGGGCTAGATTCATTAGGGGCTGTAGAACTACTTTCAGAGCTGAAGAGTGGTTGGTAAGCCTTGTCCCTGCATGCCCAGTCACTCAGAGCTTAGGGCAGTTATTTAGACAAGTTATGTGGAGATCCCAGCTGCCTGAGCAAAGGTCTGAAGTAAGATCCAACATGCCTGGGAAGAGCATCCTTACTTCTGAGCTGCAGCAGGTTTGGGGGAAATCTTTCCTCGTCATAGAGTTCATGCCGTATCAGATATTTCACTATCCATTGGAGCAAGAACATTGACGCTCTGAGTTGTTAATTATTTTAAATAATTAAGTTGCTTAGAAAATTAATTTGTGTCATTTTGGTAATTCTGTTAATCATTTGTTAATCACTTCGATTGTAAAGAAGTCTATCTTGCTGATGTGAAACTACAGTATGGGTACGTTGCACATAACTGAGGATCCTCATCTGGGAACAGTCACTCCAGTCTCAGTACACAGTCAGTGGAAAGACAACCTTAGCAACCCTTCCCAGGAGCCTAGGGCAACTGTACGCCTAATTTAGGAGCTTAGAATTAGCTGTGGAGAAATTTAGACCTTCTCGGAAGACAGTGGTGTTTTGTTCAGGCTCACAGTGCTGCACTGTGATCTGCTGTTACTTTGATGCTGAGAAAATGATGCTGTGTCTGAACATGCTGCAGTAGCATCACAGCCTCATGCATAAATGTCATGAGACCCCTACTCAGAAGCTCTTGCTGCTAAACGTTCAAAAATGGAGCATGCTAGAAGGTGGCAAGATTGTAACTGAGAAGTTGATTATGCCTTAAAGCCGTTCACAGGATTAGTTACTGGAGTTTAATTCTTCAGCCCTTTTACAAAGCCCTGCAGGACCTTCAGCTGTCCTGAGTGTCCCAGAAAGGGACCCGCCTGACACTGAAAAATACACTGGCAAAGGTTCGGAGGTTCGCTATGGAGCAAGACCAAGAAGTTTGAACTGAAATCTCAGCTCAAACAGACAAACTAAGCCTCTTAATTGTGCTAAATAGGAATCAGGTTGGGGTTTTTGGGTGAGATTTCTGGGTACAAGCAGTTGGTTCTTTTCTGATCCAAGTTTGGGCTAAGGTGGATTCTCACAGGCCGACTGACTGCACAGTGAAGGTGTGCTCCAGGGGCACCTCGAGGACGTGGTGGGTGCCCGTCTGAGCACGCTGCCCGTCGGGACCAGCAGAGCCAGCAGCCCGTGTCCATACAGGCGGTGGGGCCGTTACCCCACTAGTAACGGCCCATACAGACCTGGGAGACCTCCCCTCTTCCCGGATTATCCTGCTGCCTCAGAGCAATTCCCACGCCCCACTGGCATCTGCTTACCCATCACTGCCTGCCCGGGGGGCCCTCGCCAGCCCCCCAGCCCTTCCCTTTGGAAGCCAGGTGCTCGTGGCGGCCGTGCCGCTCATTCTTGCCGAGCCTCCCCTGCTCTCTGTTTTCCTTGGTGAACGCTGCTCACATCTCCATGATTGATTGTGTTTGATCGTGGAGCGGCCTGGGATGTTTGCATGAGAGGTGCTACATAAGCATAATTTGTGCTGTATTTTCTTTGTCTAATGGGAAGTTAAGCTTGGAGTTTAAGATAGTTTTGGTCCTTTGCCCATCAGCCTCAGTGCTTTGAGCTCTGCAGCCTTCTCCATTCGCTGTCAGCTTGAAAAAAAAAGATTAAAAAAATATTACTGTGCTTTGTTCCCTCGTGTCAGTGATGCCTTTGAAATGCAGCCTGGGGCAGAGGCTTTCCCTCACACTGGTCTAGGTCTTTGCTGCCCATCTCTGATGGGGAGGGATGCTCTTCCTATGAGCCCCCATCTTGTCATCAGCTTGGGTAGAACCAAGGTTAAGTCTTGCTCTCTTGAGCAGAGGCTGAGTTTGAAGCAGAGTTGCTGAGTTGAGAGACAGAAGGGAGATGATGGTAACTCACCACCTGTGTGGCTGCCCAAACAAATGGGAAAGGTCTTTCCCAGTCCCGAAACCCCAAGAATTTTGGAAAAAGGTGTGGAAATTAACCCCAGGGAATTTGTACAGACTGAACCATCGCTGGGCCCAGCATGAAAACCTCTGCAGGTCACACATTTCCCCTCCAACTCCTCAAATGAATAGGAAGGGTATGATCTGAGCTGCAGGGAATTTTCAGCATATTTGGTGGTTAAATCCAAAAATCAAAATATTTTGGGATATGGGGCAAAGCATAAGAAAGAATCAATTCAGTTTTCAGCAGTGCAAACTTTATTGATGCTACAAATTAATACCTACTGCTACAAAATATTTACATTTCTTGTTCCACACAGCCAGATTGCAGCAAAAGCAGACTAATGACAGGTTTTAATTTGCAGGAGAGAATAGTCTTGTGATGAGCATGGACTCTAAGGAGCTGCGTTTAATCTGTGGCTCTGACAAACTCCCTCTCCAGCCATAGGCGAGTCCCTTAACCTCTGTATTCCCATACCCTGGGCGGGATATAGGAGAGGTTCTGTTTTTCTCCTTCTTAAATTTTTTTCAGAGAGAGATAATTGTGAGGTTGCAGAGGGATATGATAACAGTCTGAAGAGCTTAAAAATGGCCAGAGTTCACAGAGATGTAAAATAGCTACTCTTCCTACAATACAAATTAAACAGACCGTTAGCAGATGAAGCGAGGATGAGATCACACATAAGAAAAGATACAATTCATGTGATTCAATGTACATTGGCTTGGGCATAAAATGTTCTTAATTAGTTATGTTTATCTATAATTGCCTGATTTCCTTGAGCAGCTGTGGTGGCTGCATGTGCAGCTCCTTGCTGAAATATTCCCCCTTTTTTTGTACAGCATATAATTCACACCTTCTGTGTTTGCCAGAGAAAATCCTCACCCACCAAACCTGTATATTTGAATTCATTTGATTCTTGCTGTGTT